GAACGTTTGTAAGCTAGAGCTTTGCCCTCTTTAAGGTAAGCCTTCTCCGGGACAGAAAGGCTTTTTTCCCAATAATCTAATCCCTGTTCCAGCTGCCTGCTGAGGTCAAAGCTGTGCTCACAAAGGTTAGGTCAAGGCCACCTGCGAGCCTTGTACCCAGGTCTCTGCCAGTTGAAATCCTGCTGAACAACTGGAGCAGGGACAAGCTCCCCAGGTCAAGAATCCACTTGACCCTTCCCTTCAGGCCCAAAGCCCTGACTGCACCAGAAATTTGATCTCCTTTTTTTTTTTTTTTTTTTTTTTTGCCCCTAAATGTCAGTCCTTGGGTCTAGCTCTCTGAGTTTTCTGAAGAGAAAATTTTAAATGTTAAATTAATATGAATTTCATGAGGTGATATTTAATTACGCTCTTGCCTTTCTAAATTACAAAGAGGAATCAGGTAACTAGCGCTCCAAAATATCAGGGTTGGGGAGATAGCTCAGTAGAATAAGCACCTGCCTGGCAAGGGCGGGGTCCTGAGTTCAGTCCTTGGTACTGCATAAATAAATATGCATAAATAAATAAGTAAATAAACTTTGCTCTTTCTTTTCTTTTCTTTCTTTCTTTCTTTCTTTCATTTTTTTTTTTTTTTTGAGACAGGGCTGACAATGTAGTTCAGGCTGGCCTTGAACTCACAGTGTAGCTCACTATGTAGGAACTCACAGCGATCTTCCTGTCTCAACCTCCCGAATGCCAGGATCACAGGTGTGCACCACCACACCTTGCTCAGCATCAGCTTTATTTTTAAGGCTGATTGGAGGATATGGTTTCGCTAGTCCCAGTTTCCCTCTAGAGCAAAACAATGTATTCAGTCGAAAGCTGGGTTACCACAGATCCTAAAATTGAGCTGCACGAGGTAGCTAGCCCACCTCTAATCACATTCTGCATTCACTGACTTTCCAGTTTTTCCTTCTGCACTAATCTTACCCCCTCCTGATACCTCCAGCTGTCCACTCAGGCCTGTCACAAATGTCACCTCTGCATTAATTGTCCTGGAGCGTTCTCTACTCGCAGTGGGTCCCATTTCTGCTCCTGAATACCTCTATGCCTCCTTTATTTCAACCAATGGCATTTCCACCTCTATCTGAGTTTGGCCTCCTACCCCACTGCGGCTGCTGTGGGGTCTGCAGCTGCGTCTTTGCCCTCGACCTCCTGCTTCAAATGCAGCAAGTGCTCAACAAATATTTACTCACTTGCCAGATATTATCATAACCCAGTGGTGCTAGACCAGGGGTGAGTTGGCCCCCTAGGGGACATCTGGCACTATGTGGAGATGCCTTGGGTTGTTTTGGTTGTCCCAGTGGGAAGGGGGGAGGGAGCTGCTGCTGGCACCTAGTGGGTAGAAGCTGAGGCTGCTGCTAAGACCCCTGTACTGCACACGAGAGCGCCCCACAACGAAGAAGTATCCTGCCCCAAATGCCAGTAGTATGGACACTGGAAAACGTCGCCATAAACGAATGAGCGCTCCTTTTGATTAGGCTAGAAGAAGAGATCAATATACCAGTTGGGCAGGATATTCTCCCTAGGAAACGCGCACCTGCTCTTCTCTGCTGCTGTGTTTAGGAGCTGCGGTTGTGCTAAGTCCGGTAGAAAGCTCTTTCCTAATGCCGTCGGTGCCCTGGAGCACAGATGGTATTTGCTCCACTGGTTGGCTTCTGAGTGTGGCGAGTGACCTCCCAGGAATCCCTGAAGTGCTAGGAATGTAATTCTGTTAAAGAAGAAAACTCTGGGCTGCCCAAGCCCAGCAAAATGTCAAAAGGGAATTGTGCCCCTCTGACAGGGCAGGCAACTGTCTCTGAATTTCTTTTTCTCCTGTTATTCCAACCAAAGAGAAACTTCGGAGCAGGCTCTGGAATCAGTGATTCCAGGGGACCTGAAGCCCTGTCACCACACTTCCCCCAAAAGTGCAAAGGACCTTGAGAAACGGTTCTGGCTGCCACGTGCTGAGTGAGCGGCTCAGCTCCTTTGCAGGAGTCTCATTCACTGGTGACTCGCCACGTGAGTCACTTTCAGGCAACAGCCCCGTCGCAGCAGAGGTGACCAGCTCACGCTCACGGGCACCTCCTGCGTTCCTCCTCACCCAACCCAACCGGTCTGTGACTGACACGGAAACTGAGTAATATATGCCCTGAAAATGAAAGGTAGCCTTGGCCCAAAGGAGTCTGACACGGCCAGGAATAGGGGTTGACATACTGTTTTTTAAAAAACTTGTCCTTGGGGTAGGATTACCTGACAGGCTGGCTGAGACCTAGCAGTGGCGTGAATACTTAGCAGAACAACCTTTAGTGCAGTTGGCAGAGGTGGAAATGCCAAGCAGAGGATTCTGAGAGGCGCCACCCCCTCTTGTGGACATGTTCCAATTTTTGTGCCACACACACACACACACACACACACACACGAATGAAATAAGGTGTGACTGCACTATCGGATTGCCCTGCCTTTTATCCAGGAAATGAATCCTTTTTTGGGTCTGCATATTTGAGAGAGTGCCACCCACCAGATTTGTTCAGCTCAATTTTGCTGAAAACCCTCGAGGACAAAAACATACAGCGTACTTGGCAACCCATGAATTGCAAAAGTGTTTAATGACGACAGTAATTAGGATAACAAAATAATGTGTGTAGAGTGGATGGTTGGCAGGACTTTATGTATATTAAGAAAGTATAAAAAGGGATCATTTAAAAACACCAGATAGGAATCCCCAAAGTGACTGCAATCCTGTTGACAGTGAACTGGAAAAGAACCAACAACATTCCTGGGTAATATATATTTATATTTGAATTAAACTAAAAATTATTCCAAATTGTATTACTTGCCCCAAAACTCAATTTTCAATTGTTTGTGAACCCCATTCATTCAGTCATTCCATTACTCAATAAACATTAGTTTCTTTTATTATTTATATTCCTACTCAATTATCCCTTCTTCTACTCGACATTTACAAATTCCCCTACTGTGGGCCAGGCATTGAGCTAGAGCCTAATAATATACAATGGCAAACAATCTTTGCCTTTGGGAAATTTAGACTCTAGTGAAATAGTCCTTTTTTCTTTCATTTATGAAGGAAGTATTTACTGCTTGCTCAAATGTTTTGGGGATACAGCAACAAAAAATGCAAGCTCCTCAGATAATGGAACTACATCCTAATGAGTAGAAGGAAAAGCAAAGGACGAGGGTTTTGAGAAAGCTATGAGCATGGGGCAGGCCAGGTAACGAAAACAATATGGCACCAGATGGGGCCGAAGAGGTGAGCAGAGACTGGATTATATACCATTCCACAGGGTACCACACATAACCCTTGTTTGTACATTCATGCACTTATACAAATATATCTTCCTATCAGATTAAACACTCCCCAATGGATTTAGCTGTTATTCAACCTCAATAACTTCAGATGAAAGTTACTTATAATAGTCAGTCATTGGGGAAAGCTACATGCTAGCTTTGTTAGAGCTGACCTGAGATCTAAAATTTAGATAGCTGCCTTTCTTTTCTTGCCACGTGCTTCCCTCTTGATAAGGTGGCAGGAGAAAGAAAAAGACTTTGTAAGTCTCCAGCCCTCCATGCCCTCCACTGGCTTCCAAACCAGAGGCTAGGAGGAGTTGCTAGGCCAGGAGAACAGTCGTGAAGATCAAGATCCGGGACTAAGAAATTTGGGGTGTGGAATTTTCTCTCAATTTGGCAGAACCATCTGCAAAGTTTGAAACACTTACGTTTGATGTGTTCACAGTGTCCCTTCTACTGTAATAGTGATGTATAACATCTCTTGATTCTTACTAAAGGACTATGGGAAAAGTCTCTTCTTCCTAACAGGCTGCTACCCTAAATCATTCTAATATTTCACTGTGTAAGAGTCCCTGGGTCTCTGCTATTCCATATGTATACTACAGAGTAATATGTAACTACAAGTTTGGTTTCTTTCAGGTTTTTGTTTAAAGAAGAGGTGCCACTAAGAAGGATTGCAAGTTCCAGACTAGCCTGGGCAATTTAATGAAAACCTGTTTAAAAGAAAACTGGAGGGCTGGGGAGATGGCTCAGTGGAATAAGCACTTCCCTTGCAAGCACAAGGGTCTGAGTTCAATCCCTGGTTCAAAAAAAAAAAAAAAAAAAAGCCTATTCTCTATGGGGCTGGAGAGATGGCTCAGTGGTCTAGAGCACCTACTTAGAACAAGCTTAGCAAAAGCATCAGGGACCGCGGTTCAATCCCCCAGCACCACGTGCCAGCCAGCCCGCCCCCTGGTGGGCTGAGCTGGCCTCTCTCTCTCTCTCTCTCTCTCTCTCTCTCTCTCTCTCTCTCTCTCTCTCAAATAAATAGATAAATAAAATTAAAAAGAAAGAAAACTGGGCTGGAGACATAGCTCAGTGACAGATCTTGGGTTCAATTTCCAGTATAGAAAAAAAAAAAAAAAAGAAAGAAAGAAAGAAAGAAAGAGCTGGGGAGATAGCTCGGCGGTCTAAGTGCCTGCCTGGCAAGCGCAAGGACCTGAGTTTGATCCCTGGTACAGCATGCTGGGCCATCCCCGCAACCCCGGGTGAGCTGTCCTGGCCCTGAAACTGGGCATGTGGGCACACACCTGTAATTCCATCGCTGGGGAGGCTGAGACAGGAGGATCACTACGAGTCTTAACTGTGTAGTGAGACCCTGTATCAAATAAATCAAAATTTAAAAAGACAGGGCCGTTTTTTTGTATTAGACTTTAAAAGATATGATTAAAACAGAAAAAAAGAATTCTAAGCAGCCTATCCGTAATCGTCAGTAACTTAATCCAGGCCCCGCAACTGGGGAATCCTCTATAGGTACTGAGCTCTAGACAGCCAAGTCCAAGACCAAAGCGACTACAACTCCCAGGAGACACTACGTCCGCATTCTCTGCGCACGCTCAGTTTCAGTGACTGCATAGGGCATCGAGCCCGAGTGGGCGGGGCTTGGCTTGGACTACGAGTCGAGGGCGGGGCTGGAGGCGGGGCCAGAGGGGGCGGCGCTGCCGGCGCGGCCCGGAACACGCTAGTGGAGCGGAAGATGGCGGCGGTAGCGGCGGCTGCAGCTGGGACCCCTCTTAGGCTTAGGTGGAGGAGCCGCCGGCTCTGACCTCGCTCTGGCTCCTGTGCGAGCGGCGGAGCGTGTGCGAGGCCCCGCGCGTCGGGCAAGGGCGGCGGTGGCCACTGCGCGCCGCCTGGAGGAACGTCCCGGCGGCGGCGGCGCCGCGGCTGCTGCTGAGGCGAGAACCGGCTCCGGGCCTCCGCGTTCTCCTGCTCCCCGGGCCCCCCGCCTCCTCGGGGGGGCGGCGGCGGCGATGTTCTCTGTCCTCTCATACGGGCGGCTGGTGGCCCGCGCCGTGCTCGGCGGGCTTTCGCAGACCGACCCCAGGGCCGGCGGCAGCAGCGGCGGCGGCGGCGGTGACTACGGACTGGTGACGGCTGGCTGCGGTTTCGGCAAGGACTTCCGTAAGGGCCTCCTCAAGAAGGGCGCGTGCTATGGGGACGACGCGTGCTTCGTGGCCCGGCACCGCTCCGCCGACGTGCTCGGTGAGTCCCGGGCCCGGTCCCCCAGCCCCGGGTCCGCCTCCGGGGACTCCGGCGCGGGGCTTCCCCGCTTCCACGCGTGCACATGCGGGGAGCGCGCGCTGGCAGCTCGGCGCCGTGCCAGGCGCTCCGAAGTGCGTTTTTCCTTTCGAACAACCCCCGATCTTAGGAGGAAACTGAGGCGCAGAGCCGTGGAGCCACGTGCTCAAGGTCACTGCTTGAGAATATGACCAGGCTGTCCCCATCCAAAGCCGCACTCTTATTAGTCACTTGGCTTTGTCGGCCTCAGGCGACCTGTCCTCTCTCTGGGAGACACCTGCAGGCTCTTAACCTCGCTTTGGTTCCCTCCCTTTCTCTGGCTCCCCCGGGGATCCCTGCTTCCTTCCTTGCGCCTGACGCCACGGCCTGGCCACCAGCTGCGGGATCCCAAGCAGACGAGACTCTCCTGAGCCCCTCACCGCGCCACAGCCCAGCCGCATTCTTTTCGCCGCCTCTGTCGTGACCACATCTTCATCGTTTTCGGAGTCTTCGCAGTAGGGGCTAGTGGCCTGGTGATAAAATTTCTCGCAGCACTTTCTCCCAGAATGATCTTGTCCATGTGAGGTCACTTGGGGCGGCAGACAGTCTCCTTGACCCAAAATAGAATGGTCGGACCTGCCTGCAGACTGCAGCCAAAAGCTTTGAGAAGCACCAGGCCACAGGTGCTTCCCAAGGCCTATTCTAGTTTCACCTTTGAGGAGTGGGAGGCTAGGGAGAGAGTGCAGAAAAGGCTAGAGTTCACAAGCAAGCAGAAACTACCGGGGAGGTATGTCTTTGGAGATTTTATGTATGCCTCAGAATTGTATGCCATTAAAGCTCATTTAGTAAATAAAGCACTTCCTTTGAAATTGAAGGACATGCTGTCATTGAATTTAGGTTTAAGTGTCTCATGTTTTCTCAGGTGAGATCGAGTTTTTGGTTACTTTAGATTTCATATGGCAAGGTAAAGTTTGGCATTGGAACAAACGGTCCTGTAAGTTTTTTATGACACTAATTATTTTTTAATCTGATCTCAGAATAACTGCCTAGTAGCTTTGGTTTTACCACATGTAGTGTTTATGAATATGAAACTTGGAAATGTTGTTTGCAGTTTAATTTACATTGCTTTTAAAAAATGATTTAATATTTAGGCAACACTATTGACATAAATGGTGTCAATATTTTGAGAGAGTCTCCTTAGAACATCAAGGAGTTTACAGGTTCAGATTGTAGGAATCACTCTAGCGTCAGCTTGAGAGACTCATTATCTCTTTTAAGAGACTCAGGATTTTTCTGCTACATTTAGAAGTACTTCAGTCAGTGAGCTTGTGACCTGTTTTACTTTTAAAGTGGCAGTCAGAGTGAAAGTGTAGTTCAGTGGTAAGTATGCTTGGATAGCATGCCTGAGGGCCTCAGTTTGATCCCTAGTACTACCACCACCAAAAAAGTATCCGCATTTGGAGCCCATTCCACAGGATAAGGGAGCCACTAAAGTTTATGCTATACATCTGCTTTTTAAATAGACTTTTGTGCTGGGCATGGTGGTGCATGCCTATAATCCCAGCACTTGGGAAGCTGAGGCAAGAGGATCATTGTAATTTCGAGACCAGCCTGGCTTTGAGTGAGCTAAAGGCTAGCCTGAACTGCTTAGTAAGATCCTGTCTTGGAAAAATAAAAATAAAAACAGACTTTTGTGAAAAAGCTGTGATTTCTTTAATGATTTTGAAATACAGTCCCCATCCTCATCCACAGACTTTGTATAGGTTGTTTTCTGAGGTCCAAAAATGTTGTATGGAAAAATTCTAGAAATAATAAGTTCTAAAAATTGCATGCCATTTGAGTAGCGTTATGCTTCCATTCACAGTATCAGACTTACGTATCCTACCCATTACCACTTGGTAGACATCATAGTTACTAGATATGTTAATTGGGAGGGACCCATTCACATAACTTTTATTACAGAGTATTTTGTGCTATTTTATGTCTAGGTATTGTTAGTCTTGCTGTGCATAATTTATAAATTAAACTTTCTAATAGGTATGTATGTAATAGAGAAAACAGTATAGGATTCAGTACCATCTGTGGATTCAGGAATTTACTGGAGCCTTGGGATATATTCCCATTGAGAACGGAATTTAAATATATCAAATTCCTATATTGAAGCTTGCTTTTAAAATTTTAGAGTGCTACCTTCACCCTGGAGTGACATTGAACAACATGGGAAATTGTGGTTGGAACCCATTCTATAAAGCATAATTTCATGCTCTGACATTCTGGCAGAAACCAAACCCAGCCCTGCTTTCTGGTCTAGAAGATGGAATTATAAGGTGGCCACTAAGTAGTAGCTCTGTGACTTGTGACCTTGGGTGGAGCTTCCCGTGAGTCTCATGTTCCTTATCTAGGCTAGAATGAAGGTAGTAGACTACCTGACCTTTATAAGGGTACAGCTTTTGACTGTTATCTTTCCTTTTGCTTTGAAGAGATAGCAACTCTTAATAACTAACCTGTGTTACTTCCTTTCTTGTTAACACGACACTTGCTGTGGACCTAACTGAACTGGCACAGTAGATCAGGATACCCTTGGTGTGCAGCCCCTGGCTGCCCATAGGCTCACTTCCCCAGAAGAGTGCAGAGACAGAGGTTCACAGGTGCTTCCTGGGGTGTCGTTGACTACATGTGGTGTGTCTGTGTGCTGCCTGCTTACAGGTCCACGGGAAGGTTTCATGTTGGAGCCCCAGCCCTGTTCCTTTCCTAAAGGAGTGTTGCTGTCAGCAGAACCAGACACATGGTTGCTCGTGTGACCAAGGAGCAATAGTCACCAGAGTTGACAGAGATCACACATGCACATGTGCACACGGCAGGGATGGAGACAGTGAGAGACAGGTTCTCCAGGATTGTCCTGTTGTGGAGGAGCCCTTCCAGAAAGCCATCTTGGGAGTCACCTGAAAGAACTTCCTAATCCAGTTCATATGATGGTGACTTTAATTTCATTGCCATTATCCCATCCCAGGCGGGTCTGATTGTCTCTTGCTGTGAAAAATGATGAATCCCAAGTGAGCCTTTAAAACTGCTTTCTGTTCTAGAAGTTGGAATTATGAGGTGAATTGTATTAAAAGGCTCTTTCTAGCTGGGCATGGTGGCACACGCCTGTAATCCAGTATGCTTGGAGGCTGAGACAAGAGTTACGCAAAAAGACAAAAGATGGGATGTAACTCAGTATCAAGGCCCCAGGTTCAGTCTGCAAGACCAAAAATAAATACATTTTAAAAGATTATGTCAAATAATTATGTTGAACTTAAGTGATTTGGAACCTTCTAGTTCTACAGCTAATTTTTCTTTGGATTGACAGTGTATTTATTGCTAAGTATCTGCAAGTTAGATTATCCACTGTGGTCATTTGGGACTCCTTAACTGCTAGAAATGAAGGCTATGTATTTGTTTTGTGTGACCAAAAAAATGCTGTTTTGTTTCTTTAATTTAGAATTGATCTATCCTATTAGTCATGCAGTGACTAAAATTACTTGGTGCTTCACAACATTTTTGTAGTTCCCACTGGATTTCTTTTAGGAAAAACTAACTGTGGTGGGTGTGGTGATACATAGGAACCACTCCTATCTCCTGGAAAATTGGCAAAGATGCTTTGTCTGAATTAAATCCAACAGGAGCAAGTCAGTACCCAACAGAGTTATGCTGTTCCTACTCTCCGTGGCTCTTCCTGAGTTCCCTTTTTGTCTAGATGGCTTCCTAGGTACACAAATATGAGAACTGCCTAATATAATCACTGGGCATCCCATTGCCGTAAGCTGCTTAGCAATACAATCAAAGACTGCTGAGAATTGTTAAGACTCAGAAACCTTGGAATCCTGTTCTTTCATGTTGCTGATGTGAAAACGGGCATGCCCCAATGATTTTAGGGTTACTCCAGTACTTACTGGCAGAACTGGGGCCCCACCTTTTATCTCCATCCCAGCTTTCATACCATGTACCACTGGTCATTTTCTTGATAAGATAAATGAATTCTGAACCAGTCTGTCTCCTGGTACTGTTTGTCTTTCTAATGCTTTTTCCACTTAGGGGTGTGTGTGTGTGTGTGTGTGTGTGTGTGACTTCTTTATTCACTCTGACTCATAACTGAAATGTGACAAAACTACTCTGCATGCTATACCACAGTTAATAGAAACCACTTTAAGAAAACCAAAAAAAAAAAAAAAACCACATATTTTTAAACGGCTGCTATGCCCTGTAAATTTTGGCCTCTGAATATTAAGTTGAAATTTCTCAAGTTGGATCTATTTATGTACTGCAAAAATGCAACTTTTAAGGAAACAATTCTTATAAAACTGGGATATTTGTTTAGTCTTGCTTTTACTTGGAACCTCAACCTGAAAATAAAGTAATTTTTTATTCCAGCCTTTGGGTGTGATTTTGACGGTGACCAGGATTCTGTACTTTTTTATGTGTGATGAGTCTTGTCAGTCTTTAAATAACCTTAAGGCATAAAGATTATGTGAACAACAGATTAATCTAAGTTTTATTTAGGAAGTGAATCTGTATCTGAAAGTTTTCATAAAAGCAGTCACTTTTATGTGAAAAGTATATGCATGTTAATTTTGGCCTTTTAAATAATCTACTTTGGGAGTTTAGTTAGACTTTAAGTCATGTCAGGAAAGCAGTCTCATTACTATATAGTCATAATTTTCTTACAGTCTAATTTCAGCCTGCCTACCTGTTGACTTGATCGGTGTTTTTAAAAACTCAAGCCATATAATTTATGTGCTACAACATTCACCTTTAAAACTGAACTGTTGCATAGTTTCTATATTTACAGAGTTTTGCAGCCACCGTCACTGTATGTAGTTCCAGAACATTTTCATCCTCAGAAAGAATCCCCCACCCATTAGCAGGTCCCCCCTCCTACTCCTTTCTCCCAATTCCTGGCAACAGAAAGTAGAATCTGTCTCTGGATTTGTTTGTTTCAAACATTT